TGCCTGTTTCCATCATGTGTGCCTTTTAGTTGCAGTATTTGGTGGTGTTAACATTTGATGTAGGGGGCTGGGGAGATGGCTAAGTGGTTAAAAGCACTGTCTGCCCTTTAAAAGGACCTGGGTTCAATTCTCAGCACCCACATTGCTGCTCACAGCTATCTGTAACCCCAATCCCAAGGGATCTGACCCCCTCACACTAATGTACATAAAATAAAAATTAAAAAAAAAAAAAAAAACATTTGGTGTAGGGATGACTAGTTTGTATTGGCTGGATTTATGTCTACTAGCTTAGGCGCCCCCGTACTAACCAAGAGTAATCATTAGGTTTTGCTAACCAAGAGTAATCATTTCCTAGACTTCTGTTCTTTTATGATTCTGTATAGTTCATTTTCTCTGCACCTCTTGATGGAGAACATCTTAAGTGAGTACCTGTGTATCTGAAGGGTAGAGGCACTTGGTGGGTGTGAAGTGGGGACAGTGGAAGTGGCCTTCATTAAGTTCCCTTACTGGTTGATCTTGGACTCCTGCCTGGCTCCTGCCTCAGCCTTCCAGGTAGCTTGGTGTAAGGCACATTTGCCTCTGTGCTTGGTAGACATCTGCCATCACTTTGCATTGTCGTCTGCTTAAGCACATACTTGTTCTGTGCTTTGATTTCCTTGGTGTCATGAGAACGAAGCAATGGGACTAAAATGGCTCCCAGGTGATCCTGTCTCTGACACTTGTGATTTGAAGGCTTTTATTGGAGTAAGGTTATCTAGTAAGGTTGAATTTTGTTTTTCACTTAGCTATCATGTTCTGCCAGGGGAAGCTTTTTGTGATACTTCCATGCATTTAACCTGAAAGTTCCACTGTGGGTATGATAGCCTGTCTTATTTTCTGTTACCACTATGGAGCCCTTGGTTCCTCAGCTATCTGATCATGACTACAAAATGTTGAGTTTTTATCAGCTGTGGGAAGAATCAAAAACAAGAATGTCAAAGGACGTTCTGGTGTATTGCCAGCCTTGTTGACTAGTGTGATAGGGCACTGATTATCCTCTACTTGAGTGTCACCAGCTCAGCTTCTCCTGGTAGTAGTTATTTAACAATCAGAGTTCTCTTTGACTTTCTCAGTTATATTGGGCAGAGTGTTGGCTTTTAGATCCTGTTAACATAACCAATCTCCAGAAAGAAATTACATTACAATCTCAGAAAGAGGTAGATGCATCCTCTAAGCCTGCTGGCTTAAGTGTAGAACTTCACTAATGTCAGTGTAAGAAGTATCAGATTTTACTGAGGGATTTTCCAGGTATAATAATAGTTTATAAAAGGATCTTTGTTCTGTGATTGTGCTTCTGAGGCATTCAGTAATAACCCCAGTTGTCAGCAGTCCAAGCAAGTCTTCATCAATCCAAAGAACTTTAAAATTCTGCTGATTAATTTGGGACTATAGTTAGCTGGATAGTTTGTAGATTGTGACCAACGGAAGTCAGTCTCTCATCTCTGTGCCTTCATTTACTTCTCAGTTTGGCTTGAATGGATTGAGTTTGGGGACCTATAGCTTTACTATGAAGCAGCTTTGGGATAAAAACTAGTACGTTTTTAGTTCATATGGTAACTCTGACCTAATGCAAGTTGCCTTTTCTGTTTACAAGAGGAAAGATAGCCAGCAAGGTCACGTAGGGTCTGTGGGAAGGGAGAGAATCCTCCTTTGTCCCCACTACACCTGGTTCCCTTATTCATTTTTCATGATCATTTCTTTATTTTGATTGGAGGAGTTAGTGCTGAACTTCTAAGCTATTAGACACTAAACATTGTTGGGTCTGTTGGGAGCTCCCTGTCTCAAAGGAGAAGTAAACATATCCATAAACCATAGATGGACTTTGTAGTGTGGATGAACAAGGGGGTCTTACCAAGGGTTCTGAAAAGATGTCACAGGAGAAATATCCTTGAGCTGAGTCAAGGACTGGGTGGCATGGGTTTTGTTTGCTTTAATTTTCTAAGATGAGGCTCTTCTTTCCCTCTGCCCTGCTCCCTGCCAGATCTGACACTGTACATTACAGGCTTGACTCGTGTTTCTTAGAGAACATAGGCTTCTTACACACTTTCACCTTGTTGGCTTGCAAGCAACACACAGGGTTCGGTGCATCCCTGCAGCCTCCCTGAGACACCCCTCTAGCTGCACTACAGAGCAGTGAGCCTGGCAGGGAAACTGAGGCCAAGTTCTGGCTCTTTCTCTAAGAAGTTGAAACACCTTCTCTTTGCCCAGAACCTAAGAAGTCTGAAATCCCTAGAAGATAAGGTGTCAGCTGGGGTACTGAAAGAGAGGCACACTTGGTAAGTGGTTGTTTAAATGATAGGGGGAATTATGTAGTAGACCCTGAAATGCTCAGGTTAAGTAGCATCTTGTATACACATACTAGCACATGAAAAAGAATGCTTATGTAAACGTCTTTTAACTCTTAAGGCAGCAGATTTACTAAGATGCAAGACTACACACAGCAGTAACAAAGTCACTGTGGCTCACAGAAGATCCAACACGCCGTTGTTTTTATTGTTCAAAATTTGATAAGAATTCCCGCATCATTGCTCTTTAGATGGAAATACAATTCTGAAAGGAAATTTAAAATTGTTTTGTTTTGTTTTGTTTTGTTTTGTTTTGTTTTGTTTTGTTCTGTTCTGTTCTGTTTTGTTTTGTTTTGTTTTGTTTTTCAAGACAAGATTTCTCTGTAGTCCTGGTTGTACTGGAACTCACTCTGCAGACCAGGCCGGCCTCAAACTCAGAAGTCAGCCTCTCTGTGCCTCCCAAGTGCTGGGTTTAAAGGCATGCCCCACAAATGGATTTTTAAACTGAGTTATTTTTCGTTTTCCACGTTTCCCCAAAGAAAAGACATGTTTGAGGTGGAGTTAAGTTTTTGAGAATGAGATTTGCCTCTGTGTACTGTACTGTGTTTTGTTTTGCGAAGTGATAAATCATGCTTATGACAGCCTCCTCTGTGACCTCCACAGGCCATAAATGCTCTGTAGCAGACAGATTGGTTCATAGGTTTCCTCTCCTCTGGGCAGATTCCTGCTGCTGTTGTTGCCAGCTCTCTAGTTTTTCCCAACAATGGCGCTGTCACTGTGCCCAGGCTCTCTTGCTTAAGGCCATTGCCTTTGAGAAATACTGATTAATAGGAAGGCTTGTGGTACATGTTAAACTCTGGATTCTAGGATGTTTTCGTTACTTTTTTGAAATATACACAGAACTTTTTACTTTCTTTTATCTATCTTTATATAATTTGCTTTCTCCATGGTGGTTTCTTTTTTTTCTTTAATTTTAGAAAGTTTCCTGAAGTCCAGTAATTGCTTTTGGAAGCAGATGAGTTGTGTTTAACGTGTACATTTACAAGGAATGTATTTTTTTTAATTTGTTTTATGCATATGAGTGCTCTATCTGCGTGTACTCTTGCAAGCCAGAAGAGGATATCAGGTCACATTATAGATGATTGTGAGCCACCACGTGGTTGCTGAGAATTGAACTCAGGACCTCTGGAAGAGCAGACAGTACTCTCAACTGTTGAGTTATCTCACCAGCCCCTAACTATAAGCAAGGAATATGTATTTTTTTTTTTAAGATTTATTTATTTTAATCATGTGAGATTACATACTTCCTGCCTTCCAGGTTTTGGCGTGAGACTTTGAGAGAGGACATAGGATTTACTACCTTGTCTTAAACAGCACTTGATAAGCTATGAGCCCTTCTTTTCTTAAAGTTCATCTTTTTCTTGTAATTCATTTATTAGGTTTTCTCTGTGTTTCAGCTGTATCACATCTCAGAAGAGACTTCCAATGTGTCTGATGAGACTATAGCCAATTCTGCAGTTCAGTGATTCTTCACACTCTGAATAATTGTTGTAATTTTAAATTAGCCAGTTTTAATTGATACTTAAGGATGAAGAAATAAAACTAAGTTAAAAATTATTATGATGTCTGCTTTTCAAAATTCTTTTAGAAAGAAGAAAAATAAATGACTATAAAAGGTTTCCCTTGGCCTCTCCACCCACCCCCATGAGAATATTACAGAAAGGTGTGAAGAAGCATAGTTAGTTAGGAGGTTAGAGATGTTCAAACAGAAGCCTGCCGTCCCAGGCTGAGAGGTCTAAGTAGCGTGGTAAATAGAAGACCCACTTTCAACTCCTAATTTAGACTTTTTTTTTCACCGTGTATCTTGAACAAGATATCTATTTCTTTTGAGTTTCAGTGTCTTCGAGTGGTAAAAGTGGAATGATGAAACACCTCGCTGTTGATAGCCAGTGGCCTCTGTCACTGAGTTCCTGCCATCCCACCTCACCAGTGCCCTGACAGATGCTATGACCTTAGGGCAACACTAAGGCCATTGTCTCAGATAACTTAAATCCAAGGTAGTTCTATCTTGTATCTAGATTTAGAGAGTGACCAAAAAAAAAAAAAAAAAAATTGCTCCATAATTTTGCACATTCCTAGAAGAAGCTGGGCTTCTGGGTGCATAGGAGATATTTCACCTGAATGGTGCCTGCAGCCCACATTACTCCTTTCACCCTCTTTTTTGTTGTATTTTAAATGGCTCTATGATGCAGTGAGAAGTAAGTAATGCAGATGGTTTTTGCTTATGTGAAATCGGTTGCTAGGAATTGAGAAATAGCTTTTCACAGTTGAAATCACTGTTTTCAAGAAGATTATGACTGTGGCCAACTGTGTGTGAATAATAATGATGCTGGTAATGACACGAGGGTATGCCAGTGCAGTTGTGTCGGCTCTGTGAAGTGTGGGTACTGTTGTTACCATCATTTGGCAGATGAAGATGCCAAGGCCAGAGAGGTTAATAGAATTACTTTTTGCCTGGTTTGGAAGTTGCACAGCTGGGATTTGAACTTACACTGTCTGGCTCCAGCGCTCTCACACTTAGCTACTGTCTCATTCTGGAAAGACTAAGAGAAGGAAGGCTGGGAAGAAATGACCCCAGACGATGGCAAGGGTGGTCATTTTAGTTCTGCTCTGCAGGTATTCTGAGAGAAGCCTCACAAAGTGTATTGGAATTACGATTGAGACCAGACCCGATTATTGCATGAAGCGGCACCTAAGTGACATGTTGACATACGGCTGCACCAGGCTGGAGATCGGAGTGCAGAGTGTCTACGAAGATGTGGCCAGAGATACCAACAGGTGAGGTGGTGGCAGGTGGCCTCCTGTCCCACTGGCTCTACTCTGTTGTCCTGCTCACCTTTTGTCCTTGAGCCCAGGCTCAGAGAAAGGCGTGAGATCTCAGCTTTTCAAATCCCTTCTTCCATCCATGCTTTTACAACCATCTGCTCTTACCCTCATTTTTCAGTATAGTCATGTGACATTCTCTTTTATCTAGAAATGTATCACTGAGCCAGAGAGAAAAGATATACAGGAAAGGTCAGTATATGAGAGAACTCTTAAATAACTGCCTCTTGGTGGAAGAGCAGAGAAATCAGGGTTTCATTGGCAGCAGACGCAACTGACCCGAGTGGCAAAGGTATACTTCAGGAGGACGATGTTTTGGGTTAGATCCGGAAGGCCACTTCCCCTGACAAGGGTTTTGAAGGGGAGGCAAGGAAACACACTGGTCCATACTTAGGAGCAGCCTAGAGGAATGTCAGGCACAGGACTTTGTTGTTTATGGAATAGAGATCTATTGAATATTTTTAAGCTTAGAGAAAAAGCTAATGGCTGTCATGCATGTGAAAGAGGAACCTCAGAGCAAAGTGAGCTCCTGTAGGGAAAGTCTCACAGAAAGGCTGCTTGGAGAGTGTAGTGATCACACATTGTGCTCAGAAGTCCCTGTGGAGGTGGTCAGGGAAGCCTCCTGAAGAAATGGCATCAAAGCTGAGGCTGAGGAGGCTCAGAGTTTCTTTCATGTGCTGGTGGAAAGCTGTTAGAGGATGGAAGCACATAAGGGGCCCAGGAAGTTAGCCCCAAGAGCCTGGGCTTTACTCAGGAGGAAATGGGGAGCTCAGATAGGAGCATGCCTGCATGTAAGTAAGAGCCATTTTGTTCCAGTATGGAAGACAGTTTAAAGGGAAATAGTGTTGGCCCACAGATGTTGGAGTAATTTAAGCAGGAAACCCTCAAGCCCTGGAAAGCAGTGAGTGTTGCCTGCTGACTGCTGGGAAGCAAGTGCAGGAGAGAATGGGAAGTTCGGGAGCCTTGCATGGGAGAGAGATTTCACGTTGTATACACTAAATGTTACAGTTACATACCTGTGAAACTAAAGGTATGTGTTAGAGCAGGGCCTGCCAGTAGAGCAGTCCACTGAGATCAACATAACTCCCTAACTGCATTGACCCACATGACAGTACAACTGAAGAAATAAATATTTCTTTGTAATTTAATTTTTAAAACAACACATACATAGTTGTGACCATATTGTACAGTAACTTTGAAGCAGAATGATTGAGTGCAGATTTCAAAAGAAAGTCCAAGCCTCATCCCAGAACTTTAAATGTCACTATTGAAAACTAATTAGAAATGGGAACAGGGCCATGGGAATAAATGGGTCAGAGCACCCAGAGGGAGTATGACGGATCCCGTGGCTTCTGAGACCTTCCTGTGCTAAGTGGGAGCATCTTGGTGGTAGAAGGAATTGTCACAAGGCTTCAGTTGCTAGTTGCCCCAGCTGTCATCAAGGCCTCCTTCCTGCTTAGATGTGGCGGGAGAACGTATGCTGAGAGGCCTCATCAGACCCCTGTGCCAGCCAAACCTTTCTCTGATGGACCATTCCAACATACTAGTAACGTGCTTTGCATTGTAGTTCTTTCTTCTTTCCACTAATATTTCACAGTTCTGAATGAAGTAATACCTGAGATCAAAAAAAGCGCCTTCATGATTTTGTTTTTGTTTGTTGCCCAGTCTCACCCCAAACCTAGTAAGGAGCCAAGGATGACCTTGAATTGCTAATCTTGCTGCCTCCACTTGCCAAGCGCTAGGACTGTGAGTGGACAGTAGCATGCCTCTGGCTTCTGCATGGTCCTTGCTGACACAATTCTGTAGTGAACTAAGTCATCTCAGTACACAGTGGTCCTTGTTCCTTCCAGGTCTTGGTACATGAAAGATTTTTGAACAGTCTTAGAAGCAGTGATTTTCCTCCAGGCCTCCCTAGAGCTGTATGAAATTTGACTTCTGAGTTTTGTTCCCAGCCTAGTGACTCTTGGTCTCAGGGATTGTTTTCTTCCTCTTCCACCACCACCCCTTTGTTAACTTGACTGTCTGTATGTCTAACAGGTAATACATTTTCTTCCCCAGGGGCCACACTGTAAAGGCAGCATGTGAATCATTCCACCTGGCCAAAGATTCTGGTTTCAAAGTGGTGGCTCATATGATGCCTGACCTGCCAAACGTGGGACTAGAAAGAGACATTGAGCAGTTTATAGTAAGTTCGGCCTGAGCCAGCGGACCCAGATCGCCTCTGCACGCCTCCCCCACCTCTCTGCTCTTGTGCGTGAACTGCTGTGTTTCCCATTCTTAAAGCTGTGAGGGCTTGTTCCAAAATATCTTAAGCACAATGAAGAATGACCATCCACCCCCACTGTCAGACAAAAGCTGTATTTTAATACACTCTTTTCAGATGAAAATGCCTAGGCTGAGAGCTGGAGTTGTCTTGGTGTTTAAGAGCACCAGCTACTCACTACTCTTCCTGAGGACCTGGATTCAATTCCCAGCACCCACATGGTGCCTCATAAACATCCGTAACTCCAGTTCTAGGGGATCCAATACCTTCTGACCTCCCTGGGCAGCCAGGCACACATGTGATACATGTAGGCAAACACTTAGATGCATAAAAGGTTTTTTAAAAAATTAATTATAAAATGCTTAGGCTTTGAGAATCTGAAGCTAGTTTTGCTCATGCAACACAGACACACATTCACATGTGGGTGGGATAGGTTTTTGTCTTTTCTTTTGGTTTTTGAGACTTTTTTGTGTAACAAAAGATTTTTCTGTGTAACACAGCCCTGGCTGTCCTGGACTGGATTTGTAGGCCATTCTGGCCTCGAACTCCTAGAGATCCACCTGCCTCCGCCTCCCAAGTGCTTGGGATTAAAGGCATACCCTACCACATTATTCTTGATGTAGCTTTTCTACTTAATATTATAAAAAGCATTTTTAGTATGATAAGGTGAATTTTCACATGGTGGCAGGTGGCATAGATAAGGCACAAGGCCCATCAGTTGGGATGCTGGCCTTCTGTCTTCCTCCTTTGTGGCCCAAAATCTTATAGTCCAACGTCCCCAGAGAAAGGGCAGCACAGGGAGTAGAGAGGAGTTCTTCCATGTGCAGACTTGGATCCGGTATCTGGATTTACTCCATGTCTGTTCCGCTCTCCATGATTCCTGGGCCTCTTATTCTTGAACTTTATGGAGACTGTGGTGTGATGATCTGGCCTTCATTAGCCTCTTAAGGGTGTGTATATTGGGGGGGGGGGGGATAGTTTGCAATTACCTCCCCCTTCAGAGTTGTGTGCCTGTATTCATCTGTTTTTCAGTTGCGGCTGCCATCCATGTTCCCCTCATCTCTTTTCTTGTTCTTTGTTCATCTAAGTTTATACTTGTTTGAAAATGTCCCATCTTGGCTTGTTCAGATTTTAGAGGGAAAGGAAAGAAACACATGTTTTAGTTCTCCATGTTTGATCATGGGTCCAGGACCAGTTCAGTCTAGCTTTGTCCTTACAAAAGGAATGTATCAGCCCCTGTGTCTGCTGCAACCAGAACTTTTCTGACATCAGTGCAGATTCAGACTAAGCAGAGAAGGGCTTGCCTGCTTGCTCTTTGTGGGTGTCTAGAATATTTATTAAGGACCTGATGACTCTATACAATACAAATGTTACAAAGGAAATCACACAGTTACAAAAGAAGGTCTCTAAGACCACATGGTGCAACAAAAGTACAGCATTCAAGAAGGTGACAGTCAGTAAAATCTAAAACCTGTAGTTACGTTTGTTTGAAAAGCAAGTTAAACAATGGAAAGTTTCCAGAGCTAGAGCGCTGCTGGCTGCATAGATCCTGAAATGGGTGCAGGGGCGGGAAGGACAGGATGGACGGGACTCTATGAACCCACCTCTGTCCAGTACAAAGATACATAGTTAAGATTGAGAGTCGCCACCATGTAAAATCTGAAGGACAAAGCCTAGTGTGTCCCTGCTGCCTCCAGATACAGAAGTAGCCAGTGAGACTATAAGATAGAAGAGGTCTGTGCCAGAAGTAGATGAGCCAGGTGAATTGCTCCATTTCCAGATAACAAATAGACTGTGTAGCCCACGTCGGAAGTGGTGCCAGTTGGCACGAGGACAAAATTGTGACATCCTGCGGTCAGCAGACTTTATCTGTAAAGGGCCCTATTGTAAACATTGTAGGGATTTGTTTGTGTGTTGTCCCTTTGTTTTCACTGTAGCTTTTGATGGGACTTGCTTAAATGGGTTTTTTGTATAATTTTTCAGAAGTTTAAACAATCATGTCTCGTATTAAAAGATATTGTAGTCTTTCTAAAAGGCTGGCAGCCATAGACAGGGCTGCACAGGAGAGCTGTGGAATGCGGGTCAGGCTGGGGCTACTGAACAGTGACGTCTTGTCCCCATTACATTTCGGAAAGACGGCTCCAGGCCTGCTGCAGGTGGAGAGAAGTTGGCATAGGTGTGCACCTTCCCCTTGGGGACAGAACTAATGGAATGGTAATGTTTGGTTCTCTGTTCATAGGAATTTTTTGAGAACCCTGCTTTTCGGCCTGATGGTTTGAAGCTCTACCCTACCCTGGTGATCCGTGGAACTGGGCTGTATGAGCTATGGAAATCAGGAAGATACAGGAGCTATTCTCCCAGTGACCTCATCGAGCTGGTGGCTCGGATCCTAGCCCTTGTGCCCCCATGGACTCGTGTGTACCGAGTGCAGAGGTATGTGTTACCTGTCAGTCCCCAGATAGCTCTCTAAAGGACAGTCTGGTTTGATATCAAGTGTTTGAATTTTTTTTTTTTTAATTTAAAGTAGAATATCAGGAATGCCAAGTATATGAAATGGAAACAAAGGACAGTGTGCCTAGGCTTCTTTGCCAAACCCATTTCATCATCCACTTATCCATGAGCCAGGAAAGTAAGAACAACTTGAAGGGGTCCCATGGACAAAATCTAGGACAATTTGAACATCAAAATAAATATATTGAGGAACTGGGGAGATGGTCAGTCAGTAAAGTTCTTGCCCTGCAAACATGAGGGCCTGACTGTGGTCGCTAGAACTTATGTAAAGAAAGCCCAGTGTGTGATTCTTGCCATCCTAGTTCTGGGAGAGAAACAGGCAGGTGCCTGGGACTCAGTGACCAGCCAGCCTACCCTCCTTGGTAAATTCCAGACCAGTGAGAGTCTCTGCCTCAAAGAGAGGAACCACACCATAGGTTGTTTTCTGGCCTGCATGTGCATGCACAAGTATACACATGCTACACACAGGTAGGTGTATGCGTATGTGTGTATATGCATGGATGTATGCATGTATGTTAGCAAGTTACAACCAAATGATTAAAGGTAGGAGTCCTTGAGTCCAACTGTTAAACTTAATGAGGTAAGCAATGTGTGTGCCTCAGAAGCATAATATCGGCAATCTTCATTACATGCAGATTCTGTATTTGCAGATTTACTTACTAGAAAATTGTGTGATTCAGAATCTCTCCTTGTAGCATATTTGCCATAAATCATTCTCGGAACAGTGAACAATTTAGGTCACTCATGTGCACTCTTAGCTGAGGTCAGAACAGTGCCTCTGCCTCTTTCCAGCACTCACGGAGTAAACAAGTGTTCTTTTTGCACTCTACTTAATGCTGCATTTTTCAAATTTTTGTGAGCTGGTTAGGAATTGGCTCTTTAAAAATGACCTCCAAACACAGTGCTCAAGTGCTGTCTGTTGCTCCTAAGTGCTCCTGGAAGGCTGTGAAGTGGCTTAGGGAGGGAGTAGCATGTGGTGGGGGCTTTTATTGAGGAGGCCCAAGAGAAAACTGTTTGCCAGTGAGTTCAGTGTGAATCAATTGACTATATATATTAAATAAGGTATCTCTAAACAGAAAGGCAGAGTACACGGCACTTATTTCTCTGGCCAGGAGAACCCAGCCTTGTGTGTTCTGAAGGAGCAGTGGGTTTAGCTCGCTGCTTCAGTGTCAATGATATACTTACTGCAAAAAAGAAAAGAGTCACGCAGCACAGTGGAAGAAGCCTGGCTGCTAACTGGAGTGAGCATTGTCAGAAACTGATGAAACAGGTTGTGGTAATTTACCGGGACTGACGCCACAGTGTCACCTCTGTGTCGTCTGCCCAGTGTCTGTAACTGAGTCTAATCATGAGCCAACATTAAGCAACCCCAAGTGGACACACATTCTGGAAAACAACCAGCACCTCATTGTTCAAAGTACCAGGGTTGGAGAGTTAGTTCTGTTTGATGGAGATAGAGAAAAGTGACAGCTAGACACAAGATTGGAAACCAGGTCATTTTGCTTGAAGGACTTTGTTAAGACACTGGTCCAATTCAGTTGGGGGTCAAAGAGCAACAGCCACAGGTCTGTTGAGGGTAGTTCTGTGGTTGTGATAGACTTTGCCCATACAGAATGTTCAAGTGTCTTGACATGTCTTCTTACTCTCCAGGGGTCAGGAATCTGCTACTGGAACTTTCTCTGTAGCTTAGAGATTGTTTCCCAAAATGTGAATTAGTACAACAGGAAGGAGTGTTACAAGAACATTAGCAGAGGCAAGAGGCTATGTGGGTTTGACTTGGACCACCCAGTCCCAGAAGCGGCCAGTTCTACCTAAGAATGAAGAAGCCTCCTGTTCTCTTACTCCTGTAGCCAGTGAGTCAGAGGCAGCAGAGACACTAGTGCAACATGAAAAGCTTCATTTCTGGGACCTAGGAAACAGTATTGTGAGCCATCGTCCTGCCTACACAGACTGAGGCAATAAGGACTTGGAGGTAACAGCAGCCCTCATCTTTAAAGTGTCTGAGGAGAGGAACCATGGAGTATGCAGACTATTGGCTTTGAAGGACGCCCTCTGCTTCACAGACACAGGGGATGGTGAGGTCTCTGGAAGGTGTGGAGTCATCATGCCCTGGGGAGTCCAAGGACAGCTGCTTGAAGAGTGCAAAGGTCCAAATAGAAGTATAATACTTATTACACAGGTTTTTATTCATAGAGATTTGGGGTTGTGGAGCTTACTGTGGACTAATTAGTCCAGGAAAACATTGGTTTTGATAAACATGGGGAGAATTTCTTCAAGATATTTTTTGTTTTTAGTTAGGTATATTACTGTAATTTTAGTATGACTATCTATATGGAAATTCACATTTTTATATTTTGCTACTTGCTTTTACTGTTGTGTGAGTGTGTGTGTGTATGTGTGAATGCCGCTGTGAGCATGTGGAGGTCAGAGGAGAGTTTCAGGGGTCAGTTCTCTTTCTGCCATGGGTTCTGACTGGAACTGAAGTCATCAGGAGGCTGCCCACTGAGCTGTCTCACCATCTTGCTATTTGGTTTGTACCCATTTTTCCAGATTTTTGTGTGCATTTAGCGTTCTATGACTTCTAGCTCTACATTCATAACCTCAATCAACCCCAGATAAAAACTTGCAGGGGGAAGCTACACTGAGCACACAAACACTTCTGTCCTTGCCATTATTCTCTATCAGCAGTGTAGCAGCGACTCCCAGCCTTGACCTTATACCAGGTATGATGGTTCATCTGGGGATTTAAAGTACACATATGTGGATGGCATCATCTTCATGGAAACAAGCATTTTTGTGGTACCTGCAGGTGATCCTGGAGCCAACTTCTCAAGGATACTGAGGGATGCCAAACTGAATTTTGAAGTGACGCAAACTTATATAGACTATAAGTTACCATTTGTCATCAGTAATCACTGGAAATGTAGTTGCCACTTGTACAATACCGAGGTAATATGTAAGATTGCATATGCTGGTCAGTGTTTACACAGTGTGGTTTTGCTGTAAAGTCAGTGCTTCATACATTGCTCTGCAGCCATGTTCATCAAGGTATGATATATTAACTTTCAAGATGTATAATCCCTTCATGTCTAGCCACACAGTCCTCTGTCCATATGAAAACGATGATGTTTTAGGACTTACTTACAATCCCCTTCAGCACATGTGTTAACAATGACTGTTTACAAAATGTCCTTGTTTGATGGAAATTCATCTTCACAGAAACTGGTAAATAGGACAGTGTTTACATGAAATAAGCCAGGTACAGAGAACCAGACACCAAATTATCTCACTAGTGTGGCATCTAAACAAACTGATCTTACACAAGTGTAAAGTATAACCAGGCTGATGTTTCTTAGGTGTTCATTCATCAGTTGAAACAAAACTGCAGCTAAGTAGGAGGGGTGGTTTCTGTGGTGATGCAGTAGGGTGAATAGAGCTGTAAGGGTGCACAGGTTAGGGAGCGAAGTAGCCCAGCCATGTAACGCTTGCCCAGCAGGTGGGGCCCTGGGTTTAATCCTAGCACCATTGCCCCACAAAAAGGCAGTTATGACAAGAAGAAAGGATTTGGAGTGTTCTTGTCACAAAGAATTGATATGATGGGGGATAGATTGCTAAATAATGTGATAACCATCTACAATGTATTGCTATCAGAACATCACACTGAGACTTTTTATATATAGTTATTAAAAGCTTATATATAATTAATTAAAA